GATTCAAGGGTGAGTACGAAACATCAGCCGACGGGGGTTAGTATCCGAGTAAAATGATGTGAAAGCTTATGAAATGGCGGTCTAGTCCGGCGAGATACCGGGGGTATAGTGTGTTTCCACCTCGCACCCAGAGATAATACGGCGGGGTAGTAACAGCCAGAGGTTTATCTTTGTAGGACCGTAAAACTAACCCGTTCTACGCGCTTGATGACGAGCGCTACTTAGATATCAGTATACAGCTTGTTTCAAAACTCGTTTCAAATTTTAGTTGAGCAATTTGGGATCATTTTGAAATTTAACGGTCACTCAGATTTTCGTAATGCTTATTTTATTTTTATAGAGAATTTTTAGCAAGCACAATCGAAATTTGACATGAATAAATACGGCGATTGACAAATGCTCAATACTTTAATTAATAAGTATAAAAAGGAAGTAAAATATTTAATATATACTAATTTATTATAATTAGTACACTTTGCAGTTATATATATATTTAAATAGTCAGATATAAACGTTTGTAAATATGAATAAGGATAATCGCGGTAAAGTTTACTATATCGGTCGTGTGGTCCAACAACGCCAAAGCATCGCATGCTCTGGCTTGATGAAAGGTACGATCACCGAAAACGCAAAGTCGTCGGAGAAGTTCGCGACAGGTTGATATTTCGGCGACGCGTGTACGCGGCGATCGTAAATTGTAAAATCTATCAAGACCAACGCGGCCGACATAACTCAGGGGGTTTGCTATCCCAGTGGTATGAAGCATGGCGGCCAGACTCGGCATAAATACCCGGTTGCAGAACACTGCAGGAGCAGAGAGCAAGCCCAGACCCGTTGTGGCGTGGCAACATCATCTATCTCGAATAATTTATTATCGCGCGACTACCGCGTCCTCTCGAAACCTGGACAAGAACGCAACTATAGGAACTATAAACGCCGGGAAACGAGTGCCAACCCTCGACCTTCCATCAGCCGAGTTTCGAGGTTGCGAATCTTTGTTGCATTCGACGAGAGAAATACTTCTTTGTTCTTTATCAAGAAACAACTTAGGATTTTTAAATAAATGTTTCTATTCCAATTATTGAAATACATAATACGGTAAAAAGTAACAGTTTAATATTAAAAATCTCAATTACATTAGTATTATTTAAACGTCGAGATAAACACACGCGATATACGCACGAGATATTCTTAATTTAATACTGATAAATATTTAATTTTAAAACTATAGCAATCACACTTTTTAATGATTTTAAAAGAAGTAGTATAACAATATTACTATAGATTATATAACAAAAAATTATCGCGCTTGTTCTATAAAAGAAGAGCAATTGATTCACATTAATGAATGTTCCGGTATTAATGTCGCATGTTTCAATTGTAACACATCTAAACTTAGACTTAGATCTATCTAATGATGTCAAAGAGCAAGAGTTCACATGCAGTAAATACGTAGAATAAACAGACGTGCACATCAAACGGAAATTAATAGCAAACATCAACTCGATTGATGTGCAAGCATAAAGATCGATAATGTTAGTGTGATATTCATTATATGGCTCTGCTCTTTTTCAAAAAACAGTTTTATAAATAAAACAATCATAAAGAAGTTTTTTAGCGAATAAAATGAAATAGATTAAACGGCAGAAAATATAAAATATTAAAGTGAAGAAAATAATCGTATAAAATAAGCAGTTACATACATTTGTAATTATTACTGTGTCTGATCAATGATGGAGTTTTACTACTAAACGTTATTATATCTTATATCTTATATCAATATTTTCAATGTAGTATTTAGGGAACATATTTTAAATCTTTTAGAAATATGAGACTATAAAAATGATATTACAATATATATATTTTCTAAACTTTTTTTAAAAATACATTTTGTTAATAAACAATTTGATAAATAATTGCTTGAAAATATACTTGAAACGATATTATAATACTATATCAAACCACTTGTTATGTTATTCTATATTTATATTATTTTTGGAAAAACAATTGTTTTGATTTGATTGATGAGAAAGAAATGAGGAAAATGCATTCGTTTTTTTTATACATTTTTTTAAGTGGAATTTGCTTAGTGGCGCCATCTTATAGGTGGTGCATGAACCTAAACGCCCTTTCTCGACGAATATACGCGAGAGTTGAGGGGGTGAAGAATGATCTGTGTAAAAAATGCTGTCAGATGGCGCCATGTTCTTTTCTACGATGAAGAAAGAAGCATTTTTTGTTTTTTTTTGCATCCTTCATGGGCAGATCGCGCTCGTAAAAAACGAGAGGGCGTCGCTGTGTAATTCTTTTTGCGCGCGAATACATACGATCGAGTCATATTTTAAAGAAAGCGATTTTTTTCTGATGCACATGGAATATTTGTGTAGAAAGAAAAAATGAATTATATTTAAATCAATTATATATTGTTTTTAATTCTTCGACGCGTTATTACCAACAAATTTTTGTTGAAAGTAATTTGCGTAAAATGGCAACAGCTAGATGAATCGAACAAGTCAACAGCAAAATGGTGTATTCACGGCATTGCAACGTTTCCCCATCTTGGTATGCGGTTCAGATGTAGACACTACGGAGGGGATAAACAAGGGGCAGTACCAGGTTGGCGGGCAGATTTTCAAAAAACCGGAGAGGCTGCGCGCGCTTCGCCTTCATTGATCGGGGGGCTGTGTCCGGCAATCACCCTCTCCGCTGCACCACGTATGCAAACTACCCTCTTCGTTGGCCGGGCAGCCGAAGAGGGACTCGTTCGCTCTCGACTTTCAGGGCGGAGCCCAGGAATCTCTCTGAGGGTTCCCAGCGCAAAAAAAAAAAAATTTAAAAATTTAAAATAAAAAAAAGTGGAAAATTGTAAAAAATCTAACTTATTATTTTTTGTTTTTTTTTCACTTAGAAAAAAAACTAGAGAAAACGAACTAAAGAAAGAGATCTGAACTAGAGAAAAGGATTCATACAAAAAGATTAATTTTTTTATTGCTTATGAATCATTATATTTACAATAATTTTAATAGTATATGCGTGATATTATTAGAGACAAATAGAGAGATGATGCAATTTTATCTATCACCATACAAAACTTTGCAGGATGTAGAACTCTTCTTGAGTTTGTTGAATGTGTTTCCATTGTTTATGTGTATGTTGAACATTTTATATTGCGACCGTTGGAAGAGAATGATCTGGGTGTCACAGCCGTCTAAATATCCGCCGGCTCCATCTAACTTATGAGAAAAAAGCGAGGAGCTTCCAAGTTAAGTACGATACATAGCAAATGGAATTACGACCGGACCGCCGAATCGCCGTTTCGGCGATTCTCAGTGGACCGAGAGCTTGGTTGGTTGAAAATCGGCGGGCGAGTTTCTCATTACAGTTTCGGGAGGATTTCGAAAAGGACCCCCATGTCCGGCCGGTATACCGCAGCATTTTTCAGTCTAGAGGACCAACCCCTACTAGCTTCTCTGGACTCACTCGAGGGAGAGTGACCGGCGAGAGATAGGTACGTACGGTAGGGAAGAAGAGAGGTGGAGAACGACTGAACGATGGAGAGTGAGTGAACGAAGAGAGAGAAAGAGCCAGAGAAGTAGAGACAGAGAGGAAAGGAACGAGAGTGAGCGAGAGCGAGTTAACCTAACCTCAAAATTCCAGCATCAATTCTGAACCCCCTCTAGTGTCTCACCCACCCGGTGCAATTAGGAACTACCCCTTCTATGCTATTCTGGCTCTATCCTCACTTCCCTTCGACCTCCCACCCCTTGAGAGCGGCGGAACCACGTGATCCGGCAACTACACTCTTGTTTTTAGGGTGGAGGCTCGGGTGTCGGTGGTGGAGGGTAAGGGGTACGAGGTCGGGATAGGGGGTGGAGGGTAGAAGGACGTAGGAAGAGAGGAGGTAGGACGGGGCGAGTTGCTGGGTAGGAACACCACGTCCGTGTTGCCATGGTTACCGTAGGGGGTGGTTTATACTTGAAGGGTTACCCCCGCGGTACAGTCTCCGCAAAATTGTGAAAACTGCCGGCGAAACGTGGCGTCGCTACGCGGAAAAACTTCCGCTAACGGTCCCCATACTTTTGCCGAAGCTTTTACCCGGAGGCTTTCCCTTTCGCGACCTTCAGTGTTTACACCGCTTAAACGTCTAAGACAATTAATGACCGGGTTTTCGGGGTTTTCTTCCGTGATACTTAGCCGAGGCTCGCGTTTGTCCGGCTACGTTCGCATGCATAATTAAAGCTTTCCGTAAATTGTTTAAACATATTGAAGCTTATGTAGCAAATTTTTTAACTA